CATCACGCTGATACCAAAGCCTGACAAGGACACCACGAAAAAAGAGAACTACAGGCCAATATCACTGATGAACATAGATGCAAAAATTCTAAACAAAATTTTGGCCACCAGAATTCAGCAATTCATCAAAAGGATCATACATCATGATCAGGTGGGATTCATACCAGGGACACAGGGATGGTTCAACATCCGCAAATCAATCAACATGATACACCACATCAACAAACTGAGGAATAAAAACCACATGATCATCTCAATAGATGTAGAGAAAGCATTTGACAAGATCCAACAGCCATTTATGATAAGAACTCTGAACAAAATGGGCAAAGAAGGGAATTACCTCAACATATTAAAGGCCATATATGACAAACCCACAGCCAACATCATACTCAATGGGCAAAAACTGAGTGCCATCCCCCTGAAAACAGGAATGAGACAAGGATGCCTTCTAGCACCACTCTTATTTAACATAGTACTGGAGGTCCTGGCCAGAGCAATCAGGCAAGAAAAAGGAATAAAAGGAATCCAAATAGGGAAGGAAGAAGTGAAACTCTCGCTGTTTGCACACAACATGATCTTATATATAGAAAACCCCAAAGAATCCATTGGAAAACTCTTAGAAGTAATCAACAACTACAGTAAAGTTGCAGGGTACAAAGTCAATTTGCATAAATCAGTAGCATTTCTATATTCTAACAACGAGCTAACAGAAAAAGAACTCAATAACACAATACCATTCACAATCGCAACAAAAAGAATAAAATACCTCGGGGTAAATTTAACTAAGGAAGTGAAGGACCTATATAATGAAAATTACAAGGCCTTTCTGAGAGAATTAGATGATGACATAAGGAGATGGAAAGACATTTCATGTACATGGATTGGAAGAATAAACATAGTTAAAATGTCCGTTCTACCTAAAGCAATCTACAGATTCAACGCTATCCCAATCAGAATCCCAATGACATTCTTTACAGAATTAGAACAAAGAATCCTAAAATTCATATGGGACAACAAAAGACCCCGAATTTCTAAAGCAATCCTGAGAAAAAACAACAAAACGGGAGGCATCACAATCCCTGACTTCAAAACATACTACAAAGCTACAGTAATCAAAACAGCATGGTACTGGTACAAAAACAGGTGCACAGATCAATGGAACAGAATTGAAAGCCCAGAAATAAAACCACGCATCTATGGACAGCTTATCTTCGACAAAGGAGCTGAGGGCATACAATGGAGAAAAGAAAGTCTTTTCAACAAGTGGTGCTGGGAAAACTGAAAAGCCATATGTAAAAGAATGAAAATTGACCATTCTTTCGCACCATTCACCAAAATAAACTCAAAATGGATCAAAGACCTAAAGGTGAGACCTGAAACCATAAGGCTTCTAGAAGAAAACGTAGGCAGTACACTCTTTGACATCAGTATTAAAAGGATCTTTTCGGACACCATGTCTTCTCAGAGAAGGGAAACAATAGAAAGAATAAACAAATGGGACTTCATCAGACTAAAGCGCTTCTTCAAGGCAAATGAAAACAGGATTGAAACAAAAAACAACCCACTAAGTGGGACAAAATATTTGCAAGTCATATATCTGACAAAGGCTTAATATCGATAATATATAAAGAACTCACACAACTCAACAACAAAAAATCAAACAACCCAATCAAAAAATGGGCTGGAGACATGAACAGACATTTCTCCAACGAAGACATACGGATGGCCAATAGGCACATGAAAAGATGCTCATCATCGCTGATCATCAGGGAAATGCAAATCAAAACTACACTAAGATATCACCTTACACCCATTAGAATGACAAAAATATCTAAAACTAATAGTAACAGATGTTGGAGAGGTTGTGGAGAAAAAGGAACCCTCATACACTGTTGGTGGGAATGCAAACTGGTGCAGCCACTATGGAAAACAGTATGGAGATTCCTCAAAAAGCTAAAAATAGAACTACCATACGACCCAGCTATTCCACTACTGGGTATCTATCCAAAGAGCTTGAAGTCAGCAATTCCAAAAGTCCTATGCACCCCAATGTTTACTGAAACATTATTTACAATAGCCAAGACATGGAAGCAACCTAAGTGTCCATCAACAGATGATTGGATAAAGAAGATGTGGTGTATATATATATATAATGGAATACTACTCAGCTGTAAAACAGAACAAAATCATTCCATTTGCAATAACATGGATAGACCTTGAGGGAATTATGTTAAGTGAAATAAGCCAGTTAGAGAAGGATAATCTGTGTATGACTCCACTCATATGAGGAATTTAAAAATATGGACAAAGAGAACAGATTAGTGGCTACCAGGGGAAAGGTAGGGTGGGGGGTGGGCACAAAGGGTGAAAGTGGTGCACCTACAACACGACTGACAAACATTAATGTACAACTGAAATTTCATAAGATTGTAACCTATCATTAAGTGAATTAAAAAAAAAACCTTTAACAAGGCAAAATTATTTCTAGAATTATCACCTAATCAGAAGCTTTCCTTGACCATGTTATCTAACATAACAATCCCTCATCCCACAACCCACCCTATTTTGCTCTTTCTTACTACGACTTAATTTTCTTTATAGCATTTATCATCACTCAATATATTATATATTATTTATTTATTGTTCTGTCTCCTTCCCTAACTAAATTTTACAACACTGAGAATAGAGATTTTTGTTTTGTTTTCTGCTTATCCTCAACAGCTAGAACAGTACCTAGCACCTATGTTCATAGGCCTAAAGTTTTAGTATTTAGACTGCTGAAAATAGTGCATAAATACTAAATTTAATAAGTGAAGTAGTTTTTAAAATATGTTATCGCTAAAGGAGACTTTATTTTTACAAGCATACCTTACCATGGAGAATACATATTGTATGAGTGACTAATTACTTGTTCAAACTAAGTGAAAAATAGAGATATCCACACTGTGTAAAGGTCACAATGGTGACAAATCCTGCTTTAAGGATGACTCCAAATCAGGCAGTTACATATATTACAAGTTCTTACTCTTAGACAAGCCCTAGACACCCTATTAAAGCAACAGGTAGAATTGAGATTCAGATTATGGCCAGACTTAAAGATAGCCACAATGACAAATTTCCTAGGTATGTGTATATATGTGTATTATATATGTAGTATATAGAGAGCGATTCAAACTGCAAGATGAGACATCCACCTCCACTCTATGGAAATATCACATTGTCTCAAATTGCCAGATTGCCTCAAAACTTACCATCATGCAAAGAAAAACCTGAACTTTATCACCAACAGGAAATTTGCATTAGAGTTAAAAAAAAAAGGCCTCAGTGAACTGATAACATGTTGGGAAACAAATTATTTCCAAGAAGCCCTTGCATAGAAGATTCAACAGAATAAAATTATAAAGTTGATTTGGGAACCAATACACTATTCATATAGATTCTTGAGGCATGGAACAAGATAGCAAAGGGGATATTTTGGAAAAATTAACCTCTCAAGAGTGTACAGGAGGCTTGGAGGGACAAGAAATTTGAGGCATGAGAACCTTTAAGGCTACTGGAAAATTCCAGTTGCGCACTGATAAGGGCCTGAAATGGAAATTGGGATGGGGAAAAAAAATGGAAAGGCAAAGTTGTCAGGGAACTAACTAAATGGGAAGGATTTTATAGAGCAAAGAAACTTTTCTGCAACAACTAATTCCATGTTTCCTAAATCTAGATTTATTTTTAAATTTGGATTTCTCAAAGTAAGACATACATTCCTACTATGGTAATCTCTTAGTATTTTAATATTCAGATACACCAAGAAAATACCTAGAAGGCACATTTAAAAGTTCTATTCAAGACATATTAAAGAATAGTCTATTAAGTTTCCTACGGGAAATGAAAATTGGTAAATTTCACTCTCATTTTTTCCAGCAAAAAATGGAATGAACCTTCCTCAAATCTTGGTAGAGAAGTAGCCTAAAGCTACTAAAAAACAGGCAGGAAAAACAAAAGTATTTCTTCTACTTGAGGATACCTTTTTCTTTTTTTCAGAAACGGCTAAATTTCTACACTGAACTAACAGAGGCAAAAGACTTATTTCATAACTATTCCAATACACAGAAGAATACGCATCACAAGTATCAGGAAAGTAATTTCATGTCAGCAACATACGCTCTTGGATTTTCCTCCTATGTACGTCACCTCCCTCCTACCCCATAATAAAGCATGATTTTTCCCTCAGATACTTCCTGGAAAGCAGAAGGATCACATCTAAGAACTGAAAGTCAATGAATGAGCCAATTTTTTGAAAAATAAAATACTCTATATACCCTTTTATAGAGTCTAAAGAGAAAAAAGGATCAGAAGATCAATGGAACTTTTTAAAAAGGTAATTACGGACAGTGAGGAACGATACATCTGTTCTGCTTTAATTTTCTGCTATAAGAGATGGGTATAAAAACCACATATATAAATATACTGCCTAACCATCAGCAAGATCAAAATAACAACAGAAAGCCCATCCATCCTCTATCTCAAGCCAAATCTCTGAATAAAATTAATTTCTAAAAATTGAGTTATTTATAGCAAAGAAAATATGTATATCAAACAACTTGTTTTGCAATCTGAACATTATGTGTTTTAGCCCACAGCTGATATCAATAAAGTACTATCATTAGTTTTCAGTAATCAACTATGTTAATTAAAACATTCTATACATCTGAATATATCAGTGATTAATACTAATTTCATTAACCTTTCAAATTAACCAAAATACACTTTTCTACTGACCTCCCAATAAGATATTTACATTTAAAATGAAGACTTAATCAATCATTAAAACCAACAGTTCAGGATGATCAGATCAAGCCAGAATTAGATGACTTTTAGTAAACTCTAAAAATATAGCCACCTATATATTTTACAACTCATATGTTAAAACATACATATTTCCAATACTAAATTTACTTAAGATTTAACAATTCTAAATTAATGATACAAAGAAAAAAGGAACTTACTTGGCCATAAAACTATATCAGGAATACGCTGAAACATTCCTTCCCTGAGCAAAAATATCTCATGAAGACAATGGCCTGTTTTGTGGTTTAAAAAAGAATATGCAAAAACATCTTAAATTATAGGAAATTTAAAAATTAAAAATAAACTATGCTTATATAAAGTTGCTTACCATGAGCTCTAAATACTCGATCATCTGCTTCTTGTGAATATGAAATATTCGTTTCTTTAAGGTCATGAAGAAAATCTTCATTTACAATAGAAGGAGGTGTATCACTAGGATTTAAGGATGCCTGGAAAATAAAATTGGTTTCTTTGACTTATTTCTAGAAAATAAATTTTGAATACCTCTGTTATGGAGAGTGACTATAAAATGTAAATATGTTTTACATCTAAACTAAGACAGAAGCATAAGAAAACACCAAATAATACATATGAAAACCAACACTGTGACAGCAACAAATTACAGATGGTCTGTTTAATCACATTCTGTAACAAAAATTACAGAGGGCTTATATTTCCTCTTTTGCGTCTCTGGTCCACCTTTTCATTATTTCTAAAGATTGCAATCAAGATGAAGGAAGAGGGGCTGGCCCAGCAGCCGAGTGGTTACGTTCACGAGCTCTGCTGCGGCGGCCCAGGGTTTCGCCAGTTCAAATCCTGGGCGCAGACATGGCACTGCTTGTTAGGCCATGTTGAGGCAACATCCCACATGTCACAACTAGAAGGACCTGCAACTAAGATATACAACTATGTACCAGGGGGATTTGGGGAGATAAAGCAGAAAAAAAATTAATTAATTAATTAAAAAAAAAAGAACAAGGAAGACAGCAAAGTCTCAGATCTTCAATTTTAGATTAAGGAGACTGAGGGAAAGCTGGTTGACTTTCACATTATCGACATTTTCACCTGTAGATAAAATTCGTCATTTCCTATACTTCAATTACCATTTTAAAATGCTCACAGGCTGGCCCGTGGCTGAGTGGTTAAGCTCGAACGCTCTGCTTCAGCAGCCTGGGGTTCACTAGTTCAGATCCTGGGCATGGACCTACGCACCGCTCACAAAGCCAAGCTGTGGCAGCATCCCACACAGAGGAGCTAGAATGATCTATGACTAGGATATACAACTATGTATTGCGGGGCTTTGGGAAAGAAAAAAAAGAGGAATATTGGCAACAGATGTTAGCTCAGGGCCAATCTTCCTCACTACCAAATCAACAAACAAATAAATAAAGTGATCAGCAAAAAGTCTCACAAGAAGTAATAAACACATTTTATAGGACTGCTTTAGACCTCACAATATAATTATAAACTTGATACTTAATTTCAACTAACAGGTAATCTGAAAAATAAATCTTCAACTTTAAAGCTATATGACACTGGACATGTCACTCAACTTCTGTGAGCCTTGGCTTCTTCATCCATTAAATAAGATAACACCACTAAATTTTTACACCCACCATAAGACAGGAAAGTTAAATTTAGTAACCTTTGTGAAATGCACTTAATATCATGCTTAGCACATAGGAAGAGGTCTATAAACGGCTGGCCAAATCAAATCTGCTATGGGAAAAAAAAAAAGGCCATGAGATAGTATTTAGAAAAAAGGAAATGTAAGAATATGTAAAGAAAAATATGATATTTACATAGTCTCTTGGTATCTTATTAAGGTTCTGTACTTAATATTCCATTATATAATAAATATTTATTGAGTACATGCTATAAGCTAGATGTCATGCTAGGCCCTGGGGATACAGCAGTAAGTTAAACAGAAAAAAACTCCTAACCTCATGGAATTTAGCCCACATTGAAAAGAAATGATCAAAAGAACCCCAATGAAACATAGAGATTACTATTAAGTTAATGAAAATTGAAAAGGCCTCAAAAATAGAAAAAAGAAGTACATGTAAAACTGGTGAAATTTCTGAATATGGTAAGTAGATTGCATCAATGTCAAAAACAAGTACTTACAAATAGTTGGAGAGAGAATTAAGGAAGTGAAAAGAGAGATCTTTTAAGAAAGTTAAAAAGAATTTGGCTTAGGAGGGGCAGGAGTTAATTGTTTAGCCTAATTTAATTACCAGAAAAAAATATAACAGTGGATTTATAAATAAACCAAATAAGTATTCAATGAATATCTACAGAACTTAACTTGTTGGATAAAGTGGAGAATATAGTGTTAGCTATAATCCTTGCACTTAGGTAACTTATATACAGTTAGAGGGACATGCAGAATACCATGCTATAGCAAATAATGATAACAAATAATAAAAATCATAATAATATTTAAAGATGCAAACTATTTCATTAGTTTGATATGCACACAGTTTAAAGTTTTCTAACTCCACTTTCAGAAAAGTGAAACAACACCCTAACAAGGCCAATATAACTAGAAACTTCTTAACAAAAAAAACATGACAAAATGCATCCCAGCAACTATACCAAATTACAAAGACAGGTCTAATTAATTTGGGATTAAACACACACACACAGAGTTAAGAATATTAGTAATCATTCTTATTTGCTTACTTTAGAGGTAGATTTATGCTCCACACGTACTCCAAGGGTATTTTGGATCCATTCTTTAAAAGTTGGTAAACTCATGCCACTAAGAGGGTACCTAAAGCACAAAGAAGGTAAAACATTAGAGTAAGATATCTTCATTTAAACTTAAATCTTAGATTATGCTTCTAGTAATGGTCAAGTAGTTCCTATCAAACCAATCCTCCCACATATAACTATAAACTCTGGACAAAACACAAACAAACAAAACCCAAGTATCTGAAGGCAGTATAGGCAGACCAAAAGCAGGCAAAAACAAGGGTAAGGCAGTGTGCCACACTTGGAAAAGGAAACAGCACTACATGAGTTTTCAGTTTTGTTTTTTTAAACAGGTTTTGGCCTGAAGTAAAGCCCCAGTTGGTACCACAAAAGAAACAAAAAAGCAGAAAATCTGTCTTCCTGGCTTGAAGAACCAGAGGACAGTGTTTGCAGCGAACAGCACACGTGGAACGAGTACATGGAAATCAAGAAAAGGAGAGAGTCAGAGAAGGTCTGTATAAACAGTCCAAATGTCTGGCTGATCTTGAATTACACGTGTATGAAGCAGACTCTAAGCAGCCCAGCTAAGCTCAAAACAACTGAGCAGATAACTCAGCTGCTCACCAGCACAGAGGGAGAGAAGCGGGAGTTAGGTCAGTCAAGGTAACTGATGTTAAGGGGGAAAAAAATCTCTTCAGAAGAATATAAGAGAGTCTAGAGTCTCTACAACATATCATTAACAATGTCCAAGATACACTCCAGAATTACTAGACATGAACAAACAACAAAGTGTGATCCATAATCAAGGGGAAGGGCAATTAATAGGGACTGACCCCAAGATGATCCAAGATACTAGAAATAGCATGCAAGGATTTTAAAGCAGCTAAAACTATGTGAGAGAACAAAAGGGAAAAATATGTTCCCAGGAAATAACAGAAAAGTAATCTCAGCAGAGAAATAGAAATTATAAAAAGAACAAAACAAAAATTCTACAATTAAAACTCCGAAATAAAAATTGATTGGAGGAAGTTAAGAGCAGATTGGAGGTGTCAGTGAATTTATAGACAGAGCAATAAAACATAGAATCTGAAGAAGAGAGAAAAGAGATTGAAAAAATAAATACAGTTTCAGGGACTTATGGAATAACAGCAAGACTAACATACATATAAATGGAGTCCCAAAAAGGAGAGAAAAAAGGGAAAGGGAATAAAAAAAGTATTTGAAGAAACAATGGCTGAAAATTTCCAAATTTGATGAAAAGCATAAATTTACAAATTCAAGAAGTTTAGAGAACTCTAAGAAAATAAACACAAAGAAGGCACATCACAGTCAAACTGCAATTAAAAAGAAAGAGAAAAAGAAATGGGGAGAGGAAATCTTAAAAGCATCTAGAGAAAAATGACACATTACATACAATGTAACAACAATAAAAATTATGACTGACTTCTCACCAGAAACAATGAAGTCCAGGAAACAACTGAACAACTTGTTTTTGTCTTTTTTTCAAGATTGGCACCTGAGCTAACATCTGTTGCCAGTCGTCATTTTTTTGTCTCCTTCTTCTTCTTCTCCTCCCCAAAGCTCCCCCCAAGCACATGGCTCTATATTCTAGTTGTAGGTCCATCTGGTTGTGTTGTGGGGGATGCTGCCTCAGCATGGCCTGATGAGTGGTGCTAGGTCCGCACCCAGGATCCAAACCAGCGAAACCCTGGGCCACAGAAGTGGAGTGCATGAACTTAACCACTCCGCCATGGGGCTGGCCCCTGAACAATATTTTTAAAGTGCTTGAAAGGAAAAGAAAGTCAACTCAGAATTCTCTATCTGGTGAAAATATCCTTCAAAAATGAAAATGAAATAAACACATTGTCAGATGAAAACTAAGAGAACTTGGTGCCTGTAGATCTACACCACAAGAAATGCTAAAGGAATTTCTATTGGCTGAAGGGAAATACAATACTAAACATAAACTGAAATCATCAAGATAGAATAAATAATACCAGGGCCGGCCCCATGGCCAAGTGGTTAAGTTCGCGCGCTGTGCTTCAGCAGCCCAGGGTTTCACTGGTTCGAATCCTGGGCGAGGACATGACGCTGCTTGTCAAGCCATGCTGAGACAGCATCCCACATGCCACAACTAGAAGGACCCACAACTAAAAATACATAACTATGTACCAGGGGGCTGTGGGAGAAAAAGGAAAAATAAAATCTTTAAAAAAAAAAATTTTAAAAAAAAGAATAAATAATACCAGAAAGAATAAATATGTGGATAAACATAAACGATTATTTTTTCTTAATTTCTTTAAAATATATATGACTGTTTTAAAAAAGTATAACATTGCATCATGGACTGTTTTAAAAAAGTATAACATTGCATCATGGAGTGTACGATGTAACAACTCTAAAAAGAACAAGGACTAGTAAATAAAACCACAGATTTACAAGGTTCTTAGATTTTACATGAAGTGGTACAATAAATTTAAAACTAAAAAGAGCAAAATAGAGCAGATATAGTGTGAAAAAAACTAGATTTGCTACTCAGATTTTGTTTCCTACATCTTCTATCCAAATCCCTATTAAATAGTTTATATGAAACATTATTTCATATAACAAGAAATCCTAAATTTTATATATATGACAAAATTGATGCAGAAAACTCAAGTGCTTGGAGACTCAACTTTTCAGTTTTGAAAATACTTCTCAGAGGTGGCAAAATATTAAATAGCAATGAGTGCCAGAAATAAGGAGATAAAGTAAGTACCCTACCCTAGATTAGTGTAAAGAAGGCTGATATGCAAACAATAATAATCCAATGTGTTATACTAGCAGTAATATACTAGCACTCTGAAAAGACCAAAACAAATTTTAAAATGCATATTTTAAAACAGTACTTTAAAATTTTTTATTTAAATAAATACCTTGCATTATAATGTGCTAGACATTCTTCCAAGTGTTTTATGCATATTAACTTAAAATAATGTTATGAAGTTGGTACCATTCTCCTCATTTTATAGATGAAGAAGCTAAGCACAGAGAAGTTAAATAACTTAAGAAGTTAAGTAACTTACTCAAGGTCACAGAACTAGTAATTTACAAAACCAGGATATGAACCAGGTAATAAATAAAGCTTCAGTCTGTGCTCTTAACCACTATATGATGCCGCTTAGTCTGATTCTTCCCCTACCACCATTCCAAATGAGATTATTCTTCTAAAATTCTTTATGAATGATATTTATAAAATCACAGTAGTGGGGCTGGCCCGGTGGCACAGTGGTTAAGTTCAGACGTTCCACTTCGGCAGCCCAGGGTTCACTAGTTCGGATCCAAGGTGGGGACATGGCACCACTTGGCAAGCCATGCTGTGGCAGGCGTCCCACGTATAAAGTAGAGGAAGATGGGCACGGATCTTAGCTCAGGGCCAGTCTCCCTCAGCAAAAAGAGGAGGATTGGCAGCAGATGTTAGCTCAGGGCTAAACTTCCTCAAAAAAAAAAAAATCACAGTAGCTATATTTAGTCATTTTTTTCACTATAATGTTCTTGCAACTTCTCTATTCCCCCCCCTAAAAAAAGATGATGGGACAGCCAAATAAAACCACTACGTTACATTATAGCTATTTTATTTTTGTTTGATTTTATAAATATTTTATTACAAAAAATTAATGTATATATACAAAGAAGTGTATAGCTGAATGAAATTTTACAACTAAACCTCTCAAGTAATCAGCATCCAGATCCAGAAATAGAACATTACCAGCACGCCAAAAATAACACTCCCTAGGCCCCTTTCCAAGCACTACCTCCTTTCCCCACACCAAAGGAACCACTGTCCTGACTGTTAACATCACAGGATAATTGTGACTGTTTCTGAACCTTAAATAAATGAAATCATACAAAATTTACTCTTTTGTGTCTGCCTTCTTTTGCTCAATATTATGTTTGTGAGATTCATCTGCGTTGTTACATGCAGTTGCTGTTCATTCATTCCACAGCTTAGTTCCATTGTCCAAGTACACAAAATTTCTTTATCCACTATATTGTTGGCAGACAATGGAGTTGTTTACAGTTTTAGGTGCATGCAGGGACATTCCTTAACTTGTTTCCTGAAGAACATATCACATGTTTCTGATGGGTATATAACCAGGTATAATTCCTAGGCCATAGGCTAGGCATTTGTTCAGCTTTAGTAGACGCTATTAGATAGTTTTCAAACATGTTTACTGCGAGCGATTGTTCCACATCCTCCCCACACTTGTTGTTGTAGTTTTTTTTTTTTTTTAAAGATTGTCCCTGAGCTAACATCTAGTTGCCAATCTTTTTCTTCTTCTTCTTCTTCTCCCCAAAGCCGCCCAGTACATAGTTGTACATTCCAGTTGTAGGTCCTTCTAGTTCTGCTATGTGGGACACCACCTCAGCATGGCCTGACAAGCAGTGCTAAGTCCGCGCCCAGGATCTGAACTGGCGAAACCCTGGGCCACCAAAGCGAAGTGGGCGAACTAACCCCTTGGCCATGGGGCCAGCCCCTGTAGTTCTTTTTACTGTGAGACATTCTACTGTTAATCTCTTTCACTGATTTCCTATGTGATTGAGCTTCTATTTATATATCTACTGGATTATTACTGTTTTCTTATTGATGTATAAAACTTCTTCATATATTCTGGAATCAAGGATGTATATACTAAATATTTTCTCTTACTCTGTAATTCGTCTTTTCACTCTGTTAAAGTCTCTTGATGAAAGAAAGTTCTATATGTTAATATTGCCTAATTGATTTTTCCTTTATAGTTAATGCTTTTTGTTCTCTGCTTTTTTGCCTACCTCAAATTCAGAAAGAAATTCTCTATGTTCTTCTAGCAGTTTTACAGTTTTAACTTATATATTTAGGTCTCTAATCTACCTGGACTTGATCTCTGTATTTGTTATGAAGCAAGGTCAAATTTAATTTTTTTCCGAGACAGTAGTTTAAGTCCTCCTAGAGTTATTTTCACTTCTTTTGTTTTGTAAGTATATGTGTTTAAAAGGAGAAAAGAAGAGATACTCCAGCAGTCGCTATTTATTCTAGATCAAAGAACAATTAAACTAATA